TACATTTGGGTCATCTTCCCCGTGGTTTGTCACAATTGTGAGAAAATCACTTTTACAGTTCAGCATTTTAAAATATGGCTGTAATTTCATCAAACTATCTAATACTCTAACCAGGAATACATGGAAAAACAACACCACCTCATCACTCCTGCAAAATCCTATAGATACAATCACATTCCTGAACCCTCTTGTGCTCTAGAACTAAACTCCATACTGTTTTCGCAAAATAAATAAACCGGCGGATATGCAAGGGCCATGCTGCAGTGAACAAGTGCTTTGGTTTTGCACAGCTGTGTTTTTGTTGTCATGCCTAAAAATACTTAATAGCAGCACTTACATGTAAATGAGCAAACAGAAAAGTCGTCAGTCTACTTTGATTCTTTCCCATGTAACATAATTGCCATGATTGCGGTACTCGGCACTGCGACTTCCAGACACCAATCTGCTGTTCAGCATTTGTTCTGTCTGCTCCATCAGTGGAGTCCAATTGAAATATTGATCTTGTTTTACAAAGCCCAAGGTATGAACGACTTTAGCCCTTTGAATATATATGTTCTGTTAATGCAAAATCAAAGCTGCTGAATTTAGATTTTTTTCGGGGGGTTTACACACAGAAATTCATTCCTCAGAAGCTGCACACGCTCCCATATTAAAATGTGGCAGCTATCTCATCCATCACTGTGAAAATAATTAGATTCAGGCCTGAGCCAAATAAATCCAACAGAGGCAGTTTGGAGCATTGCCATTCTGCGCCGGTGTTAAAACACAAGCAAGCAGACACGACAAACATTATTTACTGATCATTTGTGTCAGGCGGCGACTGCAGGAGCAGAGATCTGCCCAAAAGCTTGCGATAATTGATGGCGACTACGTGAATGTGCCAGTGATCACAGACTGTTGTGATGAAGGGTTAATACACACGAGACTCTGTAATACAATTGTCCTCTTTCATTTCAATGTGTTTCGCTTGCAGTGCAGAATAAAGGAATAACATTTTCCACTTCCCTTCATGTGTGCCATGAGTTCACGACAAACGCAATAACTTTAAATGCATTACAGCACAATACGCCAAAGCACGCATTTGCTTATATTTTATTAGATAAATAAACACATTGTGCCGCAAAGTGGAAGAACACACGTTAAAGTGTCTGCATCATTGGCGCTTTCAGTCTGAAACAGTAATTAAAGTAACAAAAAGAAGTTTGATATTACTATTATAGTTCTATATTGAAAGCAGATGCACAAAGACTTTGAAAGTGTGAGCCTGATTCCTCCTAATAGTGACAATAATCATCTCTAAAACTGATTTATTATAAACAACTGACAGTCTAATATTTCACAGTTCATTTATTCAGAACT